CGGGAGATTTTCGCGGGAGATTTCCGTTATCGTAACACGGTATAATTTATCAATTTTCACATAGTTACGACAATTTGTTATAATCTACTGCTACTTTTTGCTTGAAATAAATTTAAATAATCCTTCGGGTCGTTAATACACGCGAGAAAATTATTATCGAACGTATTTCGAGATTGTTTTGAGGGTTTAGGGAAATCGAGATTTCAGTTTGTTATTGTTGTTCTTCGTACTTGTCGAATAGGATATCGAAATGAATTTGAGAGGTTGCCTAATGAAAATATTTCGGCGTTTCAGCTGTCCATTAATGAAATAAATTTTCGTTACAGGTTATTTCTAAATTTAATATGTACTTTTCTTCCAGCAATCTATAATTTCATTTTCTTTCAGTATTTATGATATTTTCTATGCTATTGAAAAATGAATTTTGAATTTGTTTCATGAATTGTGATTTACTAATCTAATTCTTCGCAGGAGTTGCATGAATTTTGCATGTTAAGTAGTTAGTTACATTATTGAATTGTATATTGTGAGCTGATTTGCAACGAGTGCACTGTACTCGTTGCACTATGCCCCTAATTAAACCGTCCAAGTAGTTTACCGTGATAAATCAATTTTCAATTTTGATAAATATTAGAGTCAGTGCAACGCGTATTGAAATAATAGCTTCATCCTTAGTTCGCTTATTATTGAATATTTTTCCGCGTTTAACTATTTCCTCCCAATTCGCGTTTTTGCTTTTCTTTCAATTTACTCGCGTTTATTTGATACTTTCTTTCAATTTTTCACTCGCGTTCTATGAAAGTTTTGTTCGATAGTAGAGTCTAAAGTAATATAAATTCGCGATTTCTCCCCCTCTAAATGAATCGCGTTTCGAAGCACTTTTCGCGTCGCCCATTCCACAGTGACTCACAAAGTGTGAGTCTGTGAGTCTTGGGAAATGAACTGGGAGAGGAAGGAAGGAGGCAATGCAGTCAAATCCAAGTTGCAGAGCCCAGCTGCCTAATCTTCGAATTGTGAGTGACAAAAATGGGTTTTTTTTCTGGTGATATGGGTAGTTAGTTGTGTTATATATTGTGCTGCCCCTAATTAAACCGTCTCACTAGTGTTTCGCAATTAATAATCGATTTTTACGAGAAGTTTTCAATTTTTCAAAATATTAGAGTCAGTGAATCGCGTATTGAAATAATAGCTTCATCCCTAGTTCGACTTATTATTGCATATTTTTCCGCGTTTATCTCATATTTCCTCCCAATTCGCGTTTTTGCTTTTTATTCAATTTACTCGCGTTTATTTGATACTTTCTTTCAATTTTTCACTCGCGTTCTATGAAAGTTTTGTTCGATAGTAGAGTCTAAAGTAATATAAATTCGCGGTTTCTCCCTCTCTAAATAAATCGCGTTTCGAAGTACTTTTCGCGTCGTCCATTCCACAGTGACTCACAATTCGTGAGTTTGTGAGTCTTGGAAAATCAACGCTTGGAGGAAGGATGACCATCTGAGAGGAAGGAAGGAAGGAAGGAAGGATGCAACGAAATCGACATTGCAGAGCCCAGCTGCCTGTCTGCGAACTGTGAGTGAATTTTTTGAGGGTTTGGTGATTGGTTATATATGTGTGTGCATGTGCATGTTTGAAGCTGAACTACCATGAAGAAATCGAAGGATGTGAGTTCACATCCGAACTCTACTGCACTACTCGGTGCAAACGCCCTCCCATTATTAGAATATCCCAATAGTATACCGCGTTAATTCAATTTAGAGTCAATCTTCGTAACAAATGTTTACCCATTATTTTCGATCGATACGAGAATTTACTACGTCGCGTCGCGTTTTTAATAAAATAGCTTCATCCCTTTTTTCGGGTTTTGCTTTTCTTTTTTTCAGCGCGTTTTGTTGACACAACCCTTAAACTTTTGCTAAATACCCCATCTGAAATGAACTACATAATGAAATGGAGGATTATAAAAATTCGCGGTTTCGGGTCTAAATAAAATTCAATGAATTAAACTACACTTGAAAGAAATCGCGATCCGTACACAATTTCGCGCGACACTTCCACAGCTTCCTAAGTCTGGTGGGTCTTGGTCAGTGGCTTTGGGTCATTCAAATCTGGCTTTGGGTCATTCAAATCTGGCTTTGGGTCATTCAAATCTGGCTTTGGGTCATTCAAATCTGGCTTTGGGTCATTCAAACTGGCATTGGGTCATTTAAACTGGCATTGGGTCATTTAAACTGGCATTGGGTCATTTAAACTGGCTTTGGATCATTCAAATCTGGCTTTGGGTCCTTCAAATCTGGCTTTGGGTCATTCAAAGTGGTATTGGGTCATTCAAATCTGACATTGGGTCATTCAAATCTGACATTGGGTCATTCAAAGTGGCATTGGGTCATTCAAACTGGCATTGGGTCATTCAAAGTGGCATTGGGTCATTCAAACTGGCATTGGGTCATTCGAAGTGGCATGGGGTCATTCAAACTGGCATTGGGTCATTCAAAGTGGCATTGGGTCACTGGTGCAACCAAATTCAAGGTCAAAGTGGCATTGGGTCATTCGGTGGAACCAAAATTCGATGCTTGGAGGATGCAAATGCTTCACTGAGGGAATTTCAAAAGTTCGATGGATCTGAGAGGATGAACAGATGCAACGAAATCTATGTTACAATGTCCAGCTGTGTGGTAAGTGGTGAGTCGCATCTTTTTTTTATTAATTAAATATTTGTAGAGAAATATTTCAGGTATACACTATTTATTCGTTAGAAATAATCAAATTTATTCATTTTCAGTAATTTCAGAATTTCATATTATGTACTTTAGTTGGAATATTCATTTTCTTCAACTATTCACTAACACATTGAACATCAGAATCAGATTTTGATGAAAGTTTGATAGGTATATTTCAAAAAAATTTAGGTATTTCATAATATTGACAATCGTTCACAACGAACGGTTGAAAATGTCTCTCGAAGTTCGAAGTAATAAACATACTTGCTTTAATACCCCAAAAATCATTAGAAATCGAGAAATTATATACTTTGACGAATTCTGCAGTTTAGAACTGTAAATTTGACTCGCAAATAAATTCCTTCTATTTAATTAATATATTAAAAATTATTCTTTTCAGATATTTCCCTTCCCTACTAATTTTAATCTAAATTTCTGTATGAAGAATGTATAGAAAATTGTACAGAGTGCCATACGCGTGTATTATAAAATAAGCCACTGTAAAGTATGAGAATGTGAACCAAGCGAATCTTAACTTTAAGTAATTCATAAGATAAAATAAGTTGGAAGATATTTTACACGTCGTGGGATGCGTGCGTTTTAATTTTAACTAGTTCGTAAAATAAAATAAGTAATTCTAAGATAGAAAATTGTACCGAATACCATGTGAGCGCTTTCTTACAGAGACACGCGACTCATTTCTAGCATAATTAACAAAACTACCTTCTGCATTTTTACTATCGTCTATACTAAACACAGAATAATAATCTTCTCGCGAATATCAATTCTCGATCTAGGCTCGTTGGTCCTTTCGCGAATTTCTCCCATTAAGAATTTTCGATAAAATTTCTATTGCTACAAATGAGAAACGCGTATCTCTGAAGGTAGAAAGCTGCCAGTAGGGCATGTGTTTTTGTCGGGTCCCTTGCGTAGTCACCTCCTCGTGGTGGGACCTGGTAATTGGTATCCTTTTCCAAAGAAAATTCTCACTTTTGCAAAAGGATACCAAGCTAAGAACTACGCGTACCCGTCGACACTCTGATTCTCACACACAGTTGAAAGTTTGAACTTTAAGTAGTTCGTAAGATAAAGTAAGTTAATTCTAAGATAGAAAATTGAACACTATGTGCGCGTTTCTTAATAAAATACCTTGAAAAATTATTCAGAATCTAGGGTAGATATGAAAGTTCCATTTAACATCAAATTTTAACATCGATCTGTCAATAGCAAATTAGTAATCAATTGCCTACGAAACACAAAGAATATCGTGTTTGATATCATTTTCATCAGAAAAATCTCACCAACATGTTAAAAAAAATTGCAGATAATAAAAAGTAAAATTAAAGAAATGATATTTTTCTGTTATGATTTGTCGAGCCGTGTAATCTCGTAAAGGAAACCGACTGGTGTAGCGTTACACGCCTGACTGACTTCGAGCAAGATAACATGGGCGCAGCAATGACGCAAACCTAGGCGTAGGACCATCTATACTGTCACTTGTAGAATCCAAACTTACTGACTCTTGTAGAGAATTTACTGTATATGCAATAACGTGTAGCCCATATTAGAGTGCGATTATTTTTGTTATCAAGAGTGTAGAATAAGGAACGTACTTTTAATTTGTGCAAAGTTTGCAATATCAATTCAGAACGAACCTGGGCACCATAAACACCTGAGCCATGGTATGAAAGAAGAGGATGCAAGAGCAGGAAGTAACGGTCCTTCTCAACGGGATGCAATCCTCGTGCTGCAGCATCGTCATGGAGTAACCAGACAGGGAAAGGACTAACAGGGCGTGGACGAAGACGAGACTAAAGAAGAACACTCTCAGTTTGGACCACTTGAGGCAGAGGAACGTTTCCACCAGCGGATGTTGCAGTATCGTCAATTGTTCCACGTCCGAAGTTGCTGCAATAAGGGACATAACTACTCCCATTTGCAGCTCCCCTTTCGGCGCCAGCACGTCGAAGTCAACAACGATCTTAAACGCAAACCAGCGAAAAATGAAAAACATTCGTGCGATATCTTTGAAACGGACAAATTCTAAATAAATATCTATTTTTACGTGTGAATTTTTCTGGTTCGAATTCGTTCTCACGCGAGAATCCAAGATGTGCTGCAAGAAAAACACCGGTCTCGGTATGTGAGCAAATATGGCGTCCACGACAGTGACTCCAGTCTTCGTTTTTGCTGCCAAATTTCCTCCATGATTGATTAATATCTGAACGCAGTCGCTGTGGCCCTTGTAAGAAGCTCTGTGCAACGGTGTTCGATTAATCTGTGAAATATTTCGGTGATAAATTCGATACAATCTGTGAGAGATTAACTTTTCTTTTCCCCTATGCGGTTACTAAAATAGAAAATGGCCGACGCTTAGATGCTCGGTCGTAGAAGAAATCATACGTCAAGGGGTTAATAGCAAGAATTATGTCGAAGAAGGCAGAATCTACTGTACGTTATCTCGAACATCGACGTAGCCAGAAGGTATTCTCTCGAGAAGGATCGAAAGTGTCTCTGTGCTGCCTATACTCGCAGCGAGGTGAAGAGGCGTGCTTCCGGTGCTTTTACACCGATAAAGAGGCCAGGCACCGGCGTCCAGCAATTTTTTCGTCGCCGTGGAACTTCCTAGTACCGCCGCGGAATGTAACGCCGTAGTTCCTGTCGTTTAAAAAGGAATTTCATTACGCAAAATTCATTCGATCAACGTAGAATTCACCTTTGATCCGGAGAGTAGCGAAAGCTCCCCGGATAATTAGAGATACCGTTTTGATTAACACCGATATCGTATTAATTCTAGATGTTACTGAAACATTTTTTCACGTCGCTGCTACTTTTTCAGCCGTGTATAATCCTGCTGGCACCTGTGTCAGGATGAACAACGTTCGTCGAAGCTGTCGCGTTCACGAGGATCTCGAGAATTTCGTCGAATTTGCACATTTCGTCGGGATTTTCCGGCGAAACCGTGGATCCTGCTAGGAGCAGAGGTGTGATACCGTGCTCGTCTTGAGTGTTCACGTCGGCTCCAGCGTTCACCAAGATCTTCACCACTTGAGAGTGATTGTTCTTCACCGCCTGATGGAGAGGAGTCCTTCCCCAGCATTCTGGCGTTGGTAGCTGAAATGATCAACGTTTTCGATCTTTCGTAAATGATTAATTCACGTTAGAATGTGTATGACACGAAGTTACTATTTCGACACACTAACGTCGCGACCAACGAGAGGAGAACTGAAAATACTGAAGGAGATCCTCTTGAAACAAGCGTTGATCCCGACTCGGTTCTCCACGGAGGCTCCGTGTTCCAGCAGCCATTGCACCACTTGGTAATTTCCACGATGAGCCGCGTGAAATAACGCGCATCTTCCAATTTTATCCGTGACACTAATGTCAGCGCCGTTTTTATAAAACAGTTCGAGTAATTCAATTCTACCCTGCCACGCGGCTAATTGAACAGCTGTCACGTGAAGAAGTCCGACCGGTTGCAAGAACTTCTCGTCGAATCTCTCGGTGACGATTTTCACAGCGGTTTCCGCGTCGTTGTTCTCGATAGAGGTGATCAGTTTCACGTGATCGTCGTTGCGTGGGTTCATTTTCATCGACTATCGACGCGTGCTACGGTTTCGAGTTTTACTTCGACACTGACGGCTGATCGAGAACGGTAGCGCGGGAATGTTTTAGTAATCGGAGGATGTGGTCAGTCGCGGAATCTACTTACATCGTGTGCTTTTATCGTGTGTAAAGTGTAACACCTCGTTATGGGGACTTTGATAACCGAATTTCACTCGTTTGCACTTGGAGGAATTAATATAGAATTAATGTTGTTGCGACCTGATGAGGACGCAACGAAGTCTCGGTTCGGCGGATTATAGTAATAAGCCATTGTTAGTCACATTTGGCCGCCAGACCGCAATATACGTGGACTCACCAGCGCGACACTCGGGACCATAAAACATTCGTTACCAACAATTCGTTTACAACAAATTCGGTCTGCCAAAAGGTCACAGTTTTCGTCGACCAATAGCCGAACACACCACGTTTTCCACCTCTGTAACACAACCACCAATCAGAACCAACCTAATGCCTATATATACATCTACACACCTGAAAACCGGGAATCACAGTGAAACGAGTGCACGAGACACATTGTCAAAAAAAAAAGACTAACCGAATTTCAACTAAACACCTATCAAACGTCTACCTCAACGAACCGAAAGAAGAACATCTAACCCAACAACCAAGTTTCAATACCCTCGAACCAGCGAGAACTATCATCAATCTGCGCCAGAACTCCTCGTCATAAGACTTGATCAAAGCCCACGACGCGACAAATGTATCGAAATACTAGGTACTGGGTTCATTTGTAAGTAATGTGCTTTCTTTTTTTGCTATTTGTAGAATGTTAATATATGGTTTACGTAAGGATGTCAGTTGCTTGATAATTTATTGGTTACTTCCGTGAGACTAAGTTATTAGCGTCAATGAAAACGAGTGTAATTATAGGAATTTTGAAAAGGTAATAGCGCAGTTACGCTGTCGAACAATATTTGCAGTGTATGTACTACTGAAGCTCTAAACGTTGGAAAATCAGTCGACGTTAGTTCAAAAAATGTACGAGTCGTGAGCCCATTTTTGAAATCCAAGCCTAACGAATAGTTGAAAATCTTAAACCACCATGTATTAAAATAAACATTCAAACCTTCGCGATAATTACGACTCATCTCCAAATAAACACTGCAATCGATAACCTCCCCCCAAAAAATAAAAAGATGTAAAAAAGTTTCCAACGTCGAAACAAGAATGTCCTCCGAAAATTGGGCAATCTCCTACGATTGCATTCCGAATGCAGCTATCCGTTATTTGCGTACACCGAGAGCTGAATACTTATGAACGTCCTTGTATACACTTGTTGGGTGTGCACGTTCGATAACGAATCTGTCAACAATGGATAACGGGTTCGATTCGTCAGAAACGTCACAGTGGATTGTGTCTCGCCTGTGAGAAGAAGTCAGTTCTCGATGACCGTTAGCGATTACGAGAACGGTGAACACCCACACCGAACAGAAACGACGAGATACTTTGCTCTGACTTGAAGTTCAGGTGCACGCATACTCCGATGATACGTCTACGTGTAGAGACGTACGGTTCAGATATACCAGTTTCGAGCTTGACGCGACCTTAACACGGGCTTCCCGCGCGCTCACACACATGTCCAGACGGCGTTAACACACGTTCGTACGCTCAATCAACTGGAGAGAATCGCGTTACCTTGCAGAACGCGGGCCCAGTACGCGCTTGACCACGCTGCCGAGAGGATCTCGTTCCACGTTTCCGCAGCTGTAACCAGTGTGAACGAGAGAGACCCGTCAACATGCCCAACTGTCCCAAGTGCGGCAAGGCTGTCTATTTCGGTGAGTACTTCCGGTACCTTCCGTCGTCGCGGATTTCTTTCGCGAAGGGTCCTGCATTTTTGTGGTTTAGTCTCTTTCTTCCGGAGATAATCGCTTCGAGATTGCGACGTGAATTTTTTGGCACTTTTAGCCTCCTTCTTTTGGAGAACGCGGAGATTTTCGAAGGTAGTCGTTTCTAGCTTTTGTAATGTGAATTCTCCGACACTCTGGTAGGAATAATTTAGTCTCTTTCTGTCGGAGAACGCAAGATTTTCCAGAGAACAATCGCTCCGAGAATTCTGACACTTTGGTTCGAATATTTTAGTCTCTTTCTTTTGGAGAACGCAGAATTTTCGAAAGATAATCGCTTCGAGATTGTAATATGGATCCTTAGCATTTCAGTTCGAATAATTTTAGTCTCCTTCTTTTGGAGAACGCAGAATTTCTTAACGACGGTCGTTTCAAAATTGCGACGCGAATTTTGGGAACATTGGTAGCAATAATTTAGCCTCTTTCTTTTGGAGAACGCAGAATCTTCCGAAAACAGTCGCTCCAAGATTGCGGTGCACCGCTGCGAATAATTTTTTAACAACACTCGCTTTACAATGCCAGTACGAATCTTTCTCACATTTCAGTACGAATAATCTGTCTCCTTTGTTCCGGAGAACACAGAATTTTCCAACAATACCCTCTTTGAAATTCTAATCGTTGGTACTTCGGCACCAACATTCGTCCCTCGATCTTCGCACAATATCGAATTCCAGTTTCCATCCTTTCCCTCGTACGCCACACACTTCGTACATTTGCTCTGAAAATTTTCCACACTCCGCAAACTCACTGCTACCGCGCTAAAGTGAACGTTCCAAGAATCACATATTTATTCGTCAATTTACATGAATTTCTATCTGGTCCCGATGTAACATTCATAAGGAAACGATCAGCTAATCGATAATTATAAACACCGTCCACCTACGAGTGTCACTCGAACAACTCCGAATTCCTCCTTTTCTGCATCCTCGGCTGGTCACTGGGAAACTACGCCGCTCGTATGCGCGATTGCGTACATCCTGCCGCAGGAAATTCGCGTCACGGCGCACAGCTCGTTGAACAGTGTGCGGTGAATGACGACACCGATGATGTCACTGCACGACCTCGCGGTCCACCTTGACAAACATTATGTCAGCCTCGTCCCGCTGTTGTAACGCGAATACACCGGGTAATACGAGTCACTAGGAAGGAAATTTTATACAACGAAACGGGCCGCGTACACGATCAGGTATTTCTGCTCTTTCAGCCTCGGGACGTGGCATTAGGTCATCTCGTAAGTGCCAGGATGAAAAGTATTTGGAGGAAAGATCGAAGAAATTTCAGAGCTGTGTAAGAAGTTTCGTAGGTAAAAGTGTGGGAGGAAGTTTTCGAACGAGATGGAGATTACGGTATTTTGTTGAATTTAACACTAGGTTTGCGGGACGCGTGATTTTCACGCATTTCGAATTTCATTAGGAAAATTGCATTTCTCTCCTGCCACTTATGCTTATTATAAATTTTACACAGTGGATTGAGCGGGACCGCCGTCTATTTGGGACAGATGCTGAAGAACGGAATATAAATACTTAAACACACGTTTGTATTCAAGACCGAATATTACACGTTGTTCAGATTTTGCCTGTTGAGATTCGCTTCTTTTGGACAAATTAGTCCGGTCCCAATGTGTCCGAATTAACCGGAATCCACTGTATAAATATATTCTTCGAATTATCATTTGTAAGTTAATAGCGTGCAATGTGTTGTTTTTAAACGAAACAAGTTGCTCTTTAAAGAATATATGCGGTTTCGTTCACGCGTCAATTTGACGTAGGTGATAGGTATATAAGAAATGTCCGTAAACCTGAGATGACAAATGTGATCGTAGAGCGAGTGTATCGATAAAATTGTTTGGAAGATTAGAATCGTCGTATACTTTGATCTTTGATACCGTGACGACGATTCCTTACGAATTTATCTATTATTGTTGCTCCGAGATATACCGTTTCTAGTGTCCTTTAGTTGATAGTTTCGATAATGGTTGATCGTTCGTTTATACTACCGCTGGAATTATTACTGGCAACAAATAGTGTTTTCGTTATTGTCGCGAGAACCTTGAGTTTGCCTTCTGTAGCGTTTTGTAGATATAAACACTCGTTAGATACTGAATTACGATAAGAATTGTAATTAGCGACCTTTTATTTTGTTCCACATGGAACGGTCTTTATTTGTGTATTTTTCACTTGGTGGTAATTTATCGGTATCAATTTTAGAAAGTGAACTGTCATCGAAATAATCCCTTAAATCCTCCGAATAATCTTACGACAAGTATGAATACGTGTTCCAGGTATTAGTTTACGAAAGAGTATCAGGAAGTTGTTACTTATTGGCAACAAGTCATCGATGTTATCTGATGTGTGTGACGTGTCATTGCTAAATTTGTCTCTCAAGTTACAATTAGTCCAGCTTTCTCAAATCTTCAGAACCAACCCTCAAATGTAGCCTCTAATCGTCCATTTAGAAAACTGCTCTGGAACATTTTGTATTCCCAGCAATTATCCACCAATAATTCTTATTCCCAAATCCAAACCACTAGCAATTTCAAAAAATAATTACAGGTACTACTCTCGTGACAATTATTGCTCCAGGACATTCTCAGGGGTATTTTTTATTCTCAACAGCCATTAATTAGCTGATAACGTTAAAACTTCCGATCCTCGAATCAATTTTTCAAACCTGACCCATGTCAATTTCGAAAAATAATTACAGCTACTTACTTTCGTTATAACACCAGGACATTCTCAACTCCCAGCTACCAGCAATTATCCCCAAAACATCAATTTAGCCAATCCTCGCGTTCATTTTTCAAACGAAATGTTCGCAAATTCGAAGCAATAATTAAAATTACTGCTCTTGTATAATTATCCATTCGCAACTCAACTCCCGGCCTCCAGCAATTATCCCCAAAAATTAGCCAATTCTCGAACCTGACCGTGACCAATTTCAAAAAACAATGACAATTACTCCATTCACAACTCGACATGAGAACATTCTTAACTCCCAGCCACCAAAAATGATCCCGAAATCAGAAATTCCCGAATTAATATTGGAAGCGAAGCAATATCCAAGCAGTGACAGCAATGATCGTCAGAAACGGCCTCGAGCCGCTCGATTTCGCGTTTATCGCGCGGGTTTTTCGCACGGGACCGAGCGTCGTCGTCCAGCGAACCGTCGCGATAAGCTTATCGTCGGCCAATCGCGTGGCTTACGCTTCCCCTTGGACGCTGAGATAAAAACGGGGCCGTAGTTGGCGGAGTAACGATAGCGCGGCTAGCTCGGTCGCCCGTGTTCCCTTCGGGCGTTCGTACACGCGCTTACTCGCGCCCAGAGAACCATCGTATTCAGAGAGGTTCGCTTTTAATTGCGCGCTTCCTCTTTCGAGCGGCCTTTTAGACGGCCCGTTAAAGCACTATTAGCGCTGAAAGCGGATTTTTCTGAATACACGAGCCTCGGCTGCCTTCCTGCCGACCGCCGACGGCTACGTATATGGGGCTTTCACGGATCGGGCCAAGTAGGCGTGCGAGGAATGGATGCCGAGGCAACGGGCGAATTAGAGGGACGACACTCTTCTTCTTGTATCGCGGCAAAAAAGTTTCCAACGGAGTTAGGAGAGAGAGGGAGGGTCGTTGGCCTCGAAAATCTCGCGGCTACGTTTTTAACCTGTCATCGGTTCTCCGATTCAGACCGGACGAGTACCGCCGGCCGTTTAGTGGCGAAGAGAATAGAGAGACTGCTCTTCCTCTTTAATTAATGCCTGCTCTTCCGTGGTACTCCCACGGACCGCTTGAAATTTCCAAGTTTGCGAGAGTGATTAGGCGCGAATTTCGGGATTGCAAGAGGGTGGAGTTTGCGGATTCCGTGGATTTTGGGATTTGCGTGGGTGAAGGTGTCGTTTTTCGTCAGTTGGAGTTAGGGGTGCGATGATTTTCATATTTGACTATTATTGTACTTTAGGGCAGGCCTAACAGGTCCACGCTTTTAACCCTTTAACGCTCACATTTTTCTCAACTTGATGTGCCATGAGTGATTAGTTTTTTTTTTCTTTTTAATTTCCCGAGTCTGCAGAAATTAGTTTCCCATTTATAGTACTGTAACTCAGGTTTCTGAAAGGAAATAATTGAACGAAGTTACACTTATTAAGTAAGTTACGAGTACTCGAAATCACTTCACTTATTTCTCCTTAAATTTCGACAGAAACTGAACACTGCTTCTTCGTTTACTTCTTCGGTTAGAAAACTGCTTCTCCCGCTTCTTCGTTTAAATTCGTTCCTTCAACGCGATGATTACGCCAGGATCTGTAACCAGAATTACAATCGCAGAAAGAACAATTCACATTTCAACTATCGCGGGCAGATTACATTCTTCCAGCAGCAAAAGTCAAAAATCACGTTCTACTCTGTGTCACAAAATGAATTCCGACCTTTGACACGCGATCTTCAGATTCAATTAACGGTCGCGAGGTCGCAAGCCGAGCAAAGTAACTTTTCAAAACCTGGCATGTCTTCTTCTTCCTCCTCTTCTTCCACGAAAAATCCACGTGGCCGACGTAACCAGAAAACGCGAGCAAGGCACTCGCAGCGTTCTCCTCGCGTTTTCTTTGTTTGTCACCGCGCATTCTACTGTGACGTGCACGGCAAAAGGTAGAAGCTTTTCGAGCCTGACCCGTGAGAGAGTCCCGCGACTCTTTGAGAAACCGAGATCTTTGACGAAAACCACATTCAAATGATCTCGCGGAGTTTCGACAAACCACCGCGTTATCCGCCATGATTTTTCGTAATACCCAAGCATGACCCTTTAATTTAGCACGCGAGTGATTTCGAAAGGTTCTGCGACTCTATCTCGAATTCTTGACCGTCTTGCGATTTTCTGGCCGGTGGAGAGCGGTAGAAACGGTAGTCGTTGGAATTCGTAGAAATACGAAGTGCAACAACGGGCAATTTCATTATTTCTTCGATACGATTATAACGTAGCATAAATTCAGGACGTCTCGCAATTCTTTCTTTCGTTTATTACCGAAAAGTACCTAAGGAATTTGGCAAAAGGAGGGAGAAAGAAGTACACCTTGTACGAGGAATGAATGCCGACACTGTGCACGAACGCTATCTGAAGTCTCGATATTTCGACTGATCCGCGAGACCCCGGGCGAAACTCCGTAAAAAGACGATACTCGCGAAACCTCGCGAAATCGCAAACAAAAAGAAGCGAAAAACCAGACACCAGCCAGGTGTGTTTTGCATAGGAAACGCGGCAGATTCGGTCGCGAAGATCCCTCTCTCGTCAATCTCTCGCGTGTGCAGACACGGAGCGGCGTAAAAAGGGGTTCGCGCTGGCAGGTAACTTGGTAATAAGCCGGAAGGCGGGAAAAGGAAAAAGTGGAGGTAAACGCGTTACAGTTGGAGCAAAAACACGGGGGAGAAGGAAGGAGCGGCGGGCGCATCGGACGAGCAAAACCGAGTCACGTTGCCGCATCAGGAGAGATCGACAACAATAAAGTGTCCAGCGCCGAGGACACAGGACAACGAGACGATGCTGCAGGAAAGGGGGAGGGGAGGGAGTATCGGGTAATAATAAGAAGAACAGAGAGGAAACAGGTTTGCCGAAGAATAGCCAGGGTCGTCGGTGGTGGCGAACGACGTCGATGGAACGAGGCATGAACGAAAGAATGAACGCGGAGAAGGAAGTCTCTCTCTCTCTCTCTCTCCTCCGTTGGACTGTGCCTCGTTTACGACGCGGCCACGATTCGAGGGCGAGGCGAGGAGAGGAGAGAAGAGGCGGGAAGGGGTAGATGGGCTAGGAAGAGAAGTTTTTCAGGGCCTTTCGAGGAGACGGAGGCTGCGAGGGTGGCGGCAGATCGGCAGTTTGAAAGACGGGCTATGGTGGAGAATGGTCTACCGAGGAAATAAAGAAAAAAAGGAAAGGAAAGAAGAGAGGAGAAGCAGGGAAAGACAGCGGGGGATGATGTTCCAAGCCTATGCAATCAGCAGCCGCCGATTGTTTGGCGCCCGGGCGCAACGATCCGTGCACAGCACTGTCTGCCTTTTCGCGCTACCACTGCACAGCAGCAATGCTTGACGATTATGCACTCGCTTCTCCGCCGCCAGATAATTAGGAGTTAATTAACTAATGGCCCTTTATGCGTACCCTTCTTGCTCCACGGCCTCTCTTTCCTTCATCCGTGCAACCATTCTGCACGAGCCACCGCTGCCCGTTCCTCTTTCTCGCTCCTCCTCCTCCGCTCCTTTTTCCCTCACTCTTTCGCCTCTTCCGTTCCTTGTCTCTTCCCGCCCGCCGCCGACCAACCCTCCTTCCCACCCGCCGTTGGTTCCCGGCGTCGACCCCTTTAGACCCCTTCTTCCCGTGTCTCTCTCCGCTGCTCCTCGTCATTTTCCAATTCCCCTCGCTGCCACCAGCGTCCTTTGTGCTCCTCCTTAGACGCGGAGGAACGTTTGAATGCGAACCACCGCGGGCCGCCACCGGTCCGTGGCTTTTTTGTCTTCCCCGCGAGGTTTGATATGTCGTAATGGCATGACGCAACGCGACGCACCGAAGGAAGGAAAAAAAAGAAGAAGAGGAGGTAGAAAGCAGGGTACACTCGCTCAGAGGAGCGAGAGCGGGCCTTTTGTCGCGCGAGGTGGGTACCGAAACGCGGGCGGCGCGGCGCGAGCCACTTACACACGCGGCCGACGAGAATCGAGAACGCTGTCGTCGGTGCTTGCCTCTGAACGAAACTCGAGCTCTCGTTAAGGTACGAAGATCTGTGGACGGAAGATCCGCGTTGTAATTTCGTCTACGAGATACCACTTGGATCCGTCGAAGAACCACCACGTTCGAGGTGCCGTGCGTGTTATTTCAAGAGGAGAAGCACGCCACTCGGCGACACCTTTCACAATAAATAAGGCATCGTCAGCCAGCGGGGTCTGTTGGATCGACGGTGCTTTTCGATTAATCAAGCTCGCGTCTCTCCGCGTGACAAAAGCGCGTGGCTCGCGTGTTTCTTCTTCCGCTTGACACACACGCGCGCGCCCCTCCTCCAGCCCCTTTCGACGTTTTCCGTCGCCGCACAAATCGTGCGTGCTGGGCTTGACGCACGTGGGAATTCGCGTCGCGCGCACAATACAACCGACGCGCGGATATTTTGTAAAGCTGGCGCGCTTTGTGGCGGTTGGTTAAGGGAGGTGGCCCACGGGGCGCCTCGCGTTCGCGCCTTCCCTGAATGAGCCGCGCCGATCCCGCGGTCCATCGGGGAATCGGCCATTCAATTTCATAATTACGAAATTGCTAATGGAGCCAGCAGGCGCGTCGCTGACGGCACACCAGGTCCCGCCTGGGGATGCTTCCGCATTTTGATCGCACGGGGAAAACCCGCTGCGGATTTTAGAGCCCCATTGTCCGCGCCGCGACATCGATCCGCCGAGGACGATGCTGCGCCCGCTAAGCTTCCGCGACGCTTCTTCGCTGCTCTAGCTGCTCGTCGATGGGAAATCACGATCTTCCGAGGGTTCTTCGGAGGATTTTTCGTCAGGACTATTGGCTGTTTAGGGAAGTTGTCGAGAGTTTCTTACGTTTGAGAACCTTTGGAAGCTTCGTGTTAGGGGTTGTGAAGTTGTTAGGAATTGGCGAAGTTGGTTTAGGTATCGTTGGAAATCTTGGTCAGAATTTTGGGAATTGCCTGGAACGTTCGATTTTTTCTGGGAATTGTTGGAAAATTTGGAATTGACAAAAAGACGTCTGAAAATATCGAAACTACACATTTCCAAACGATAGAATTGTGGAATTGCAAAATTTGGAATTGTCCGAAAAGATTTAGACGTCTCGAGTACTTCTCGAAGCTTTAAAATGATTGGCGATTGCACGAACCCGTAGAATTATCTGGTATTGCTACAGAAAGACGACGTTGAAGCATTGAAATCGTTGAAAAATCACTGGAAACCGTGAAATTCGTTTGGAAATTGTCTCGACCTCCCAGCAATGCGTATCTGGATATCGTAACGCGTTAACATTCTCGATTGCGCCGATTGTGCAACGAAGAGAAGGTGCATCGCGATGGAGGGCGACGATTTCGCGACACGTCGTGCGATAATCGTTATCCGATCTCGTCGCTTATTATGTAATCCGTTGCTTACTCCGCGCGATTTACTTAGCCGGGAGTTGTTGTTAAAAGTTCTCTCGGGCTTCTTTATCGGGAACGCGTCGTCCGTATATGGCTTTAAGCGAAGAAGTGGATTGAGGCCAGGCGAATAGGCCTGATCGAACGTAATAATTTTCTCGTTTCCATTTCACTCTCGGTGAATCACTTCTCTTGCTTGCGTCGTCGTCGTCGATCGGTGACACCGAAAGCGGACAGTCGATTTCCACGGCACGAAACGCGAATACTCGATTAAGCAGCAAAGCCGGTCGTCGTTGTTCTCGTTCGAGCATGATTTCTTTTCGTTTGTTACAGCCGAAAGGAAGACCTCTTTGGGCAAAGACTGGCATGGTGCCTGTTTGCGCTGTGAAAAATGCAACAAAACCTTGACACCCGGCAGCCATTCGGAGCACGAAGGCAAACCTTACTGTAATCATCCGTGTTACGCCGCTCTATTTGGTCCCGGAGGTGAGATTATCTAAATGAAAATCCTGTCCGTGTTTATCGCAGATCACGATAAGGCTTATCCTACTTTTGGATATCTCGCGAATCCCTCTGTTATTCTTGCTTGATCGATTCTGTTTATATCGTGTACCCAGTGTCACCGGTGTACAGGGTGTACCGATTAGCATTTGCAATTTAAATCGAGAGTTATTCGTTCGCTTAACATTTATATTTCGTTTCCTTGACGTTAGTTCCTTGGAATCGAGTTCAAGTATTTTTCGACTATAAATAGTTATTATCTTTGCATGTTGCAATACGTAATTGGCAGAGTAGATAGTACGCGAATATCTTTCGCACTTCCTTGGTTATTGTACGATATTTAAATTCGTCGGAATTTAGAAAGGGAGCAGTAACGGTAATATTAATTTTCATGCAATGCCGATGAATTACTCTGTCTACGAAGATCCAACGAAGCGGAAAGATTATTCGATTTTCCTTGTTTCCCCGTGAAATCTCGATGGATTCTGTTGTTGAAACATTCATTCTTGCGCATTGCAGGTTTCGGCCGAGGCGGAGCCGAGAGTTACGTTTACAAAAAGTGAAAATCTCGAGGAAGACGGCGAGAACGATACTTATTATTAACTAAAACGCGTTACCTGTACCGTAGATGATAAATTTAATTAACTATACGCAGATTGCCATAAGAGTGAATGCACAGTGTTTTCGTAAAAATTTTACGAAAAGTATGATTGCAATTTATGAAATATTTAAGATAATTAATTTTTTACAGTGTTATCTATCGCCTAATGTATCTGTTTACATACTACGAAGTTGAATAAAAATTTAATAATGCCAATTTAAGAACAAGTTGTGTATCTACATGTCGGACGTGCGATAATGTAGATATCTACATTGTCTTGCTACAATATCTAACCCTTTGAGCACTTTCTCCGAAGGTAAGGAAAAAAAACGAGCGAATTATAGATGTCAGCACTTGTATCATCCACTTTTCAAATACAATTGAGCGCGTTTTTATTAAAATTCGAAAATTTGCAACATTTTTGCTGCTGCCTTTTTAATTCTATCAAGTTTCTTCGCAGATTCTTTTAATTAAAAACAAATTCTTTTATCACCATTCTAGATTACTACTATACGAAATTCATAGAAAATCGAAACGCAGTACCTACTTTAATCACTGCACTGTCTAATACTCGTTTTAAATTCTCGTATCATTATAAAAAAATGTCGCATCTATCAACGTGCGATATCGCGCACATTTTACAACGCGACGGCAACTTTTCTGTGGAGAAGAGGAACGACAGGGAACAGTACGACGCTTCATATAAACCTCATATTTATTTAAAAAGGATGTACAGAGTTTTGTTTGCAAGTATCAACAGCGAGACTCGGCAAGAGCGGCGCACGGAACAAGAATATCACACGGGACGAAATGACAGCGAAATGAGAAAAAAAAACAAAAACGGTGAAAAAAAAAAAAAAAAAATAATAAAGAACCGTTTGTTGTTGAACCGGATGAAAAAGTCCGCGGGGCGCAGCATCCAAGCCGAAGTCTCGATTTTTCCCTTTTTTTTTTCACAAGTGTTTTCGCGACTGATGCCAGGGTAAGTACATACATCCCCTTCTTCGTTTGAATGCTGCGCGAAAAAAGTGATTCCTCTCGTGACGCATCGGTTTTCTTTTTTTCTCTCCTTCTTTTCTCTATTTACGATTCGACATTAACATATCGTGTGCTTTCCCCTTTCTCTCCCTCACTCACTCTCTTCCTCTTTCTCTCTCTGTGTGCTTCTTTTTCTTCTTTTTGTTCGTTTGTTCTTTCAAACGCTTCCATCCAATGAAAGCTCGAAACGTTAACCGCGATATTGCTCTCTCTCCCTTTCTCTCTCTCTCTCTCTCTCTCTCTCTCTCTCTCTCTCTCTCTCTTTAACTTTCTCTCATTCGACGGATTTCTTTGGCAAAAATGGAGAAAATAAAAGTAGCGATAATAGCGGATAGAGATTAAAAAATAGTAATAATAAAAAAGAGAAGAATTCATAATCGTCGTCGTTATGATAATAGTAAATAGAGTAACAATGTGAAAGTACGCATTAGTCAAATTACAATTCCCGACAATTATAAAAAAAAAAGAAGAAGAATTCGCAATGAACGTCAGATCGAATTCACATTGGCCGACACTTCGGCCCTATTCGTGTATCGGTTACCGGAACTTATTTACGTAAATATCTTTAGAAACGAAGGAAAGACGAAGGGAGAACGTTTCTCTTTTCCCTCGGCTGGCAGGTATTGCGATTGATGAAACAGCGTGAGTACTCGCATTTGCAGCCTCGAAATACTAACAGGATCGCAATTTCCACCTCTCACACACACACTCTCTCTCTCTCTCTCTCTCTCATGCTTTCCATATCTTTATCACTCGTTCTCTGTCTTTTACCATTCTTCATTCGCCGCATTCCATGCCCCTGTTCTTCCTGCACACGATTTTACGACACGCAACGCTACGATACGACAATTTATTAAATAGCAATTATTCAGCAATGAGAAGTCGCGGTATTACAGATCCTTTCGTCCATGCGAAACGTAATCGCGTCGGCGGGCTGAATACCTAAAGAACGCAACTAGCAGGAAGGGACGAAATATCGGGTTTTATTTTGAAATCTCGATGGACGAGGTCTCTCGAACGATCGTGGAACGAGAAACTCGTACGGTTTTGTAGTTCGTCTGACGCTCGGATCTGAATCGTTGCGAGCACACGCTTCGGATCGACGCTGTACTTCTTTTTTTCTTTCGTTCTTCTTCTACAGATTTCGTTTCGAAACGATCGATGTGAATTACGCGCGATAAATATGTGTACGCGAATAAAACGATGGAAAAGGTGAAAGACCGTTACGAGTCGTTCGGTAAAATACGTTGGAGTAAATATATTCTAATAAAATGCGGTTTGAAAAAAGAAACGAACGAACGAACGAACGAACGAACACCGAGAAGAAAATAAATGTAACAAGAAGTTTCGAATAGATTATCGAGCCTCTCTCTATTGCTCGTGCTCGCGAAACATGTTTGAAAATATAATTCGCTAATTATGAGATAACTGTGATGCGAGCGAAAACTGTGCTGGGAAACCCATTTCACGGTGGATTTCTCATGCGAGACCGAGGATACGTTGATAATACTTCTCTACCACGAGACCGTGTGTTTGATAATTAATTAAAAAAGTCTTTTTGACATGTTCATTGCACTAGTTGCATTTCCATTAAATAGAAGGGGACAACCTGTAATTAATATCGCAGGCAAACAAACGGTAGTCGTTCAATTAAAGGAAGAGAGAAAATATAAATAGGGTAATAAATAAACGACGGTTTAGAATTCGTCGAGTTTCAAATTAGACCGCGCATATGCGTGTGCCTCTAATACGCAGTGCGCATGCCCGCCGCGTATCGTATGCGCAGATCGCGAGACGCGTCGGACATGCGCGCGTTAATTTCCTTATTAAGGTTACAAAATTAACATTTTCGCCCGTTAATCATAAAGAAATTTCGAGCACGTAACATCTAATTAAAAATCACCGTGGCCGGACGTTAATTACGGTTTCGTGATGGTTTTTCTTCTTTTCTGCGAGACGTTCCGCTCGACGCGATGCCGGAAGCTACTTGACTTCCGTAGTGGTTTCTAGTGTGTGCGCGCGCGCGAATGCCTGCGAGTGCGTCGTACGGAACGCGGGAATAAACGCGATTAAACCGGTCGTGAAGGAAGTGTCCGTTGTTTCGTTACAGAAAAATCAAACGGCAGGGAAGCAATTGGTGGTCGTTCAGGTGGCCGCGAATGCCTACAGACGACGATTCGTCGTGATCGGCGAACGATGGCAGTTTCAATCGAAGGTAACGTCTTTTTACCGATGCTCGTTCTCCGCCACGTTATTACCGGTCGACGAGCGTTTCTCGACTTCGTTTCGCCTTTCACGCTTTCCCGATTTTGCAGTTTGCATTCCCCTACCCCATTGTGTTTTGTACGATGCCCCGCTACACGTCGATCCTATACGTAGCTCGCAAAACTCGCATTCATTTACAATCTAAAAGTCGCCTCGAACCGCCATAAAACTCTGCCTCTGCCGTAGTAACTACGCGACGCACGCAATTCTCAATTCTCGGCAATCCGTCTGTGGTCTTTGGTTTCTACAAAAAATATATATAATATCCTTAACAGTAATGATCGTTACGTCGATTCCTGATTTAAAAATCTCAATAAACTTATCCATTATATCCTACTATATATATATACTTCT